AAGCATGATGAATAAGAATAATTTTCTAACCACAATCTCAACTACTTGAACTTTGAAGGAAACACATAATCAGTAAAATTCAAGTAAGTCTTAAAGCTATGCATCTAGTCCTGTCAGCACAACCTTAGGACTGCTTGATTGTTTAGCAATTATATATACATTTTAGTTATAAAAATCTGGGCAAGTTGCTGTTTTATATCCAGAGTTAAACAGCTGTTTAAGAGTCAGCTCGAGACAGATGAATACACTCTCCTTGTTATAATGCAGTTGCTGGTTCATATCTGGTTGAGGGTCAGAGGATTTTCACTGTAGTGCACAGATGATTGACATCTGTGAGGGACAGCCCCTACTCTCATCCAGGAATCATGCACTAGACAAGTGATAAGCCCACAAGATAGGTATCCCACATCTGTAAGACTGTGATAAGCACGTAAGATAGACAACCCACATCTGTAAGGCTGTCTCCAGCAGAGAACTTGTGTTCTTCTTTTGTGTGTTTTGTTTTGTAAATCAGGTTTTACTGTTTTATTAAATAGTTCTCCCTGACTAGGTACTTGCTATGTAGGCTAGGCTAGCCTACAATCCTGGGTGATCTTCCTGCCTTAGCCTTGTCATGTCATCACAGCTGGGTTGGTTTTGGTTTGCTGAATCATCATTGGCTATGTTACAAAGAGAGGTGACTTTTGAATTCGGTTCTTATTTGTAGAGCCAATGTGTATGTAAATACTTAAGCTACTGAAGGACTCTCAAGGCCTGTGAGCAGAAGTTGATCAAAAAGCTCTTAGTGAGATGAAGGAAAGACCATATCATTTTACCTAGTGGGCACTGAAGCTGCAGAAGTAGAGTAGCCTAAGATAAGACAACCAAATCCTTCACCACCCCCCTCCACATGCCTGTATCCAAGCCTGCTCACCATGAGCCCTGTACAAGTGGAAGACGGTACAAAAATTCAGTAGGATCACCCAAAGGAAAATGTTCTCCTGCCATGGCTATCACATTAACATTCTTGTCTAGAAATTGCAAGATACTTGAGGAAATTATGTACTTATTAGAAATGTTCTTTACCTCACCTTACTGGCAAGGTCCTTGTGTGTTTCTAACCTTCAACATCTTCTTCTTGGAAGGATGTCTTCAGCTGTTCGGTTACTTCTCTTCCACTCAGGGATTCCCAAGGTGTGAATAAAGAAATCGTCACTAGGTATGTGCAGTCTGTGGCCATGAGGCCGAATTCCTGCCTAGATCTGCTCTGTGGCTCAGGGGCTGACCTTTCCCAGCTGTATCTCACAGGCTAGTCTGTCAGTCACAGGGAACTATCTCAGCAAGAGATAGTGGAGATAACCTGGCGTTGTTCCTGACTCTTCTCTATAGAAGCAAGTGTATTCTCCTCTACGTCACCAACTCTATGTATTGGGCAGCCAATACCCCTGGTCTCCAGTAAACTATTTCTTTGATTTGGGTTTCGAATACATGCATATCTTTGCTAATCTCTTGGTTGCTTCAAGGGCACCTGCTTTTGACTTAGTCTGACACCATCCTTTGTTCAACCACTGTTGAGTGCTCATTAGAGTTCAATGCCTCTCCAGAGATGACTCCTGACTGCCCAACTGGTCCTCATGGCCTCCTCTACATTATTTAACAGACACAGCTGCATCAGTTCTGTCTCTCCAGAGCATAAGTCTTTTAACCATGGGCATCTGCTTTGTTATTCCTTTACTATATCACAGCTTTGACTTTTGTCTATGTATCTGTTCCTAAATGTTCATATTTGCCAACCTACTGCACAGAATGACTCTGCAACACTGTGTCTTATTCTCTCTTCTAGTTTCATGTTGTTGCTATGGCAAGCACCATGACTAAAATCCACTTAGATGAAGAAAGCATGTCAGCATGTCAGTTTATAGATTATAGTCTATCATCAAGGGAAGTCAGGGCAAGCACTGAAACATGAACTTGAAACTGAAGCTGGAGGTTCAAGCTTAGCTGGCTTCCTTGCAGCCCAGCACTACCTGCCCAAGTAAAGGTGCTACCCACAGAGTGGCTGGGCCCTTCTATATCAATTAACAGGACAACACCCCATAGACACGCCCACAGGTTGTTGACTCCCTCTTCTAAGAAGCATTCTTTTTCTTTGAAAAAGAATGAGCAATCTTAGTATAGACTGTATTTCCCCAGCAGACTCCCTTTCCCGAATTTTTCCAAGGACTCTAAGGAAAGGCCCAGTCCCAGCCTTAATCTGCATCACATCTGTAGCGCCACTCTGGCCTTTCAGCTTACCACTGGAAGTCGCATGGATCTGCTACACACAAGGTCCTGTCTGGCCTACTCACCTCTTCTAGATCTTCAAGTACCTAGGGTTCATAACCTGGAGAACACAAGATGCTTGGCTGGCTCAACCTGTCCTGAAGCCCAGATGCCCAGAGTAACACTGGAGCCACCATGACTGTCCTAGGGGCTCCCAGAGAGCAGCACACAGGATACTTGCCTCCTCACTGCTGGCTTAAAGCCTGAACCTGACACAAGCCAGCCAATGTTCATCTAGAATCAAGTCCATATTCTTTGTTTTCAATATTCCAGGGATCAAGACATGTCTTTTGACTCCATCCAGGTAGGTTAACAAAGCACGTCTGATGGTTATTCTCACACTCGTAGGATGTGTTTTTTTACTGGTTGTGACCTCTGCAATACGCTTCCGAGAGTAATGAATTACCCTTGCCCTGGGGTGAGGACTCACTGCAACTTTTGTAGATGGAAGACAGTTTTACAATTGTGCAGCCAGTGTCTTCAGCTTTAATGTCAAACACTTGCTCGTTCTTCTGTATTGGCCAACTCCTTTATGAAATCCTCAGGCTATACTGGATCCTTACATTTATATGTCTTTTCTCATTACTATCTATGCTCTATGTGACAGTATTGAAAAAAGGTCTAGGTGGGTTTTTTTCATCCTACAAAGGAAATGTTGAAATAAACTTAAAAATTCATTGACATTATTCTAATGTGCTGTTACAGATTCTAAGTAACTGTCTCTTTTATAGGCAACATAATTACAAGTGAATTACAAATGCAGACTTTATTACTCCAATTAAACTGGAGGCCATGATCCATTAAAAACAGATTGAGCACATGAAATCAGATGTAAGGAAAAATAAACATGCCACAGGTTTAGAACTTTAACAGTAAAAGTTTAGCAATGTCAAATAATTTATGTTTAGCTTACAGTTTTACAAAGACACCTAAAACATTTTTTTAAATTTTATCAGAAAAATCTATACTACCTAATTTTAAATATATTTATTCATATATTTGTTTCTCTTCTGTACTTCCTTCTACTCTATGACTATCTTTAAAAGTTTTTACAAAGTATCAAAGACTAGAAAATAATCTGTATTTGAGTCTTGAGAATATGGACTAGTTTTAAGAACATCAGAAATCCACTGGAAGGATTGGATTTTGTAGAAATCAAATCAAGTTACTAAAATAAACCTGAAGTAAATTGAGATACCAGCATGATGGTTGAACTGCTCCAGCAGACAAAATTTAGAAAAACGTCACACAAGTTGGTAAAGGCCCCTTTGTGCAGCTGGGGGAGTCAGAACTAGGGTCTCCTGGAAACTTTGAACACTAACCACTTGCTTCTCACATACAGAAAGAAGGAGTAAATAAGAAATAAGAACTGGGTAGGGTTTGAACTAAGCACAGTTGGCTCCAGAAAACACATAGAGTGCAGAGAAGAGATGTAAGTAAAGCAAGTCTGTCTTTAAGCAAGAATACACTGCAGCACAGAGATTAAAGGCAAAGCATTGGATGGATTCAGAGTAAATTCAACTATAAAGCTAGAGTATTACACCAGTGACAGGAGCCACACTGGTGTTCAAATACTTTAAGGACATATTGTCATTTTCAAGAAAAGGCAATACTGCTGACAGATACACTAACAAATGTTACAGAAAGAAAGTTCTCATCGGGAGGTCTGCAGAGTCTACACAGGCATCAGCTACAGGGCAGCTCCCCACAGAGAAGGTGAAGTAAAGGTGAAAGAACACACTCACAGAGAAGGTTAAGTAAGGTGTAAGAACACACTCACAGAGAAGTTGAAGTAAAGGTGTAAGAACACACTCACAGAGACGGTGAAGTAAAGGTGTAAGAACACATTCACAGGGAAGATGAAGTAAAGGTGTAAGAACATACAGAGAAGGTGAAGTAAAGTGTAAGAACACACTCACAGAAAAGGTAGTAGGCACTTGAAATTACTTTAAAATGAAGAGTTAAGTTTCTATGATGTATAGTATAAGCCTTGGGTAGGTCGAAGACCAGAGATATACCAAACTGCATCGTTTAGAATCAATCTAGAAAATAAGGACCCAATTTGAAATATCTACCTTTGTGTGTGTTGTCTGTGTAGTTGCTAAGACACCAATATTCTAGGAAAAGCTCCCTTACTGAAATATCCTTGAGTACTACATGGCATTGATCTCAATGCACCACCATAAAGGAAATAAAAGTAATGTAGCATCAACCAACGAGCCCACCAACAAGATTTTTTTCTCTTATGAATTCTGCATTGGGAGAGGCTGACAGTTAAACACACTGGAGGAGACCTACATGTGAGTGACAAGAAATAGTATCAGAACCCATCCTGTTCCCAGGAAGTCCAGGAAAGAAATGAACTAAAAACCCTTGTTGAAGAAGAGATGGCTTAATCATCAAGAACACTGACTTCCAGAGGTCCTGAGTTCAATTCCCAGAAACCACATGGTGGCTCACAACCATCTGTAACGGGATTCCGTGCCCTCTTTCTGCTATGTCTGAAGACAGCTACAGTGTACTCATATAAATAAAAAATAAATACATCTTTAAAATATAAAATAAAACAAAGAAGATAACATCAGAGGATAGTGTAATGGCTTTTGATATGGGGGTGACAGATGGCCTGTGTGGGCTCGTTTGTGTGGGTTTAATTGTTTTCAGCACTTGCTATAGATGGTTTGTGGCCAATGCCTTACCGCCTCCACTTCAGCAGGGTCGTACCAAACATTGATGTACGGATGCTGCAGGGCGTCGTCCACAGATATCCTCTTCGCTGGGTCAATTACTAACATCTTAGACAATAAATCCCTGGCTTGGCTGGCTGAAATGACAAATGAGAACAGCAATTCCTCAGCTTTTCATTTTGGCAAGGGTGTTTATCGTCTGGAGAACAAACTAAAAGGAGCCACTGTCTTCCTAATATAGTCACGAGCTATAAAAAGAAACGAAGCTTATAATTTTTTGTCTTGAGATAACATTTTGAGAGTTCTTTGAGGGTTATATGCTGTGAATATTTGAGTATAATTATTCACTAAGAATTACAAATGGCATTTATCAGCCATGAAGTTTGAATAGGTAAGGGAACTTATGGGGCTCATCTGTAAGGCCGTTAGATGGATGGGGTCGGGCATGGCGATCTGCAGAAACGCACAGCTCAGATGTAGGGGTGGATGTAGGAGATGAAGCAATGTGCTTGCATGTTCTCATATACAACGCAGATCAGCAGAATTTAAATAAAGCTCAAACTGACTTGCAAACCAATGTAAGCCCAGATGTCTTTGATGTGTAAAAGCAATCTGGGTGTGATAAAATGACATCATTTTAACCCTCGAGTTTTGTCTAGGAGGCATTGAAATGCAGGGGGTCATGATTTGGTGGAATCAGATGGCTAGTCACGAAAGGTGTCCCATGCCATGGTTGATAATAATAAACGTCTCCATATCATGTACAAGGTGGCATGGTGAGTTGTGTGGCTGGGGAAGGGTGACAGTCAGAAAGCATATCTGTTCAATAGCACTATTTGTTGAAGTTGCATCCATTTCTGTGTTTGAAACCTGTGTGTGTTCTCTCACCTTTGTGTGCAGGCACTCAAGTGTGAAAGCCACCGCACAACCTTGGGCACTGTCCTTCAAGCACTGTGAACCTCTTTTGTTTATCTGTTTGAGACAGCCCTGGAACTTTATGTTAGACCAGACTAGCTGACCTGCCCAAACCTCTTCAACACTGGGATGACAAGCGCATGCTCAGTCCTCCTAAACACTAAGATGACTGACAAGTGCGTGCTCACTCCTCCTCAACACTGAGATGATCGACAAGCTGATGCTCGCTCCTCCTCAACACTGGCACTGGGATGACAAGCACATGCTCAGTCCTCAACACTGAGATGATTGACAAGCGCATGTTCAGTCTTCCTCAACATTAAGATGATTGACAAGCGCATGCTCAGTCCTCCTGAACACTGGGACGCCGACAAGGGCATGCTTACTCCTCAACTTTTGTTACATGGCATCTGGGACTCAAACCAAGGTCCCTGTGCTTACAAACAAGCACTTTACCACCTCATTTGAAAACCTAGCCCTGAGGTCACATAAATGTTTAGTTTCTAAAGCACATGAAGTGTTTTCTTAACAGGAATAAGTAATACCTCAAACCACCATTACTACTCAAATTATCTGGAAGTTGTAACAGGAAAAATAATTCAGTATGTTCCAACTATATAGTAAAATTTCCAGCTCAAGAGAGCAAAACCTCAGTTGGTTTAGCAATTTGAACTATTTCTGTTTAATGACAGTGCTTCACAGTAACTGACATCAAAAATTAGAACTAAATGTGCTAATGAAGTGCTAATGTAGGAAATGGGGGCCTGTTTAGATAGTGACAAATTTAGAGCCCTAGTGTTTTTTATTCTCCTTTGAAAGACATTGTATGCATTCCGTAGTGGATTCACATGTTCATTTGTAGTATAATAAAATGTGTACAGGGAAAATTATTACAAGAAGATATATTTTTATTAAAATATATTAGTATGAACATCAATTGTTATTAAATGTTCAGATTAAGGTAACTATGTTAATGATAAAAAATTAGCAATAATGTAAGTATATAAACAACATAAATAAAAGTTAGGAAATACCAACCATTCTCATAGAAGACACCACTGTGACTATTGGTGACTTTTTTTTCTCCCACTATTCACTACACTTTTGTATATGATTAAACTGTCTGAAATAGTTTCACTTATTCAATATTTTTAATTTTTTTCACTGAATTTTGCTAACATAACAGCTAAGATGATGTTCTCACTCATGTATCTGTGACTATTTTCCTGTGGTTTATACTGCTTTGTATAATATAAAAGGTATTCACTAAAGGATATTTTTGTGTCTATTGGCCATTTTTTTCTGATAAATACATTTTTCTTAATTGATTATCATTTTCTCCACATAAAACTTTGATGGTCACGAGAATAACAAAAGTACACAAAGACCCACATACTATTTCAAATCTTGAGATTTTTTTATGACCAATAGTTTAACAGCCCAACACAGTTGCTTATTTATCTCCTTAGTTAAGAGGTCCTTTTGATCTGTGGCTGATGTTATCATCAGATTCATGTGCCCTGCACCCTTAGAATCTGCTCTCAAGACCATCTGTATTTCTCTTCTTAGAAAGGACACGGGATGGAATGGCCCCTGTTGATGGGTTAATGAACTTTGCCGACACCTGCTCATTTACTAAAAGCCACTGTCAGTACCATATGCAGTCAACAAAGAGAAATGCTTTCAGCCTGACAGCTTGCACCTTTGGATATGCATGCTGCTTTCCTAGAATCTGAGCAAATGTTCCATTAACTGGATGCATATTGCAGTACTTCATTTGTGTGCCAGTGTTAGAATCATAAATATATTAAATAAGTAATAACTTACAAAAGTGGTATAATTGAACTCTAGAAAGTTGAACTTACATCACAGAATTAGCCTGCAAGGATTTTCATTGACATTAAATAGTTCAGTGAGGGGTTTGGTGTCTCTACAGTGTTACACCACTGTGTCTTCACAAGAACAGATTACTTTCCTCTACTGTGGTGGTTTGAGTAAGAATGGTGTCCATAGGCCTATGTATTTCAATGTTTAGTCATCAGGGAGTGGCACTACTTGAGAAGCATATTTTCTAGGAACTAAAAGGCATAAAGAAATATTTTTGAAGTACAGTACACTGACTTTTTAAATTTACATTTCAGAAAAATGATTTCTAGATTCTAAATACCCCTGATCAAAGAGTTAACCAACAAAGATTCTAGTCAGACACGCCTCAGTGCGTGCCCAGGCAAGGCCTTCAGAGCATGTGGTTTTCACGGAGCGAAGCCGCTCACCTTTAAGTTTATTGTGCTCGGAATCCGCTGGGAAGAGGGAATCTGGAAAGAGCTTAGGGAAGGTGAGTCCTGCATACTTGGGCCGATTCTCCACGTAGTTTCTGACTGTGGGCTGCAATTTCTTCATGAATTCTGGACATGGAGTTCCTAGCTGCTCGATGACTTTGTTCCACTGGTCGATATCTGGGAAGGAAATGGTTAAGGGAAAAAAGAGGTGCAGACCAAGGACTCTCACCCTTCCCTGCCTGTCACCTGAGACCCTGCAGCACAGCTGGAATCTTACCAAGCAACACAGGTGAAATCAAAACTGACAGCCTGGGAACCCTCTTGGAATTTTAAGCCAAATTTTGGAACTTGTGTGCTCTTAGAGAACTACTACTGTTTAACAAATGCAAAAAATATAAAGTAGTCTTTGCTTTATAAAAATAAAATATTATTCAAATGTAAGAGAATATATTAACACCTATATAATCATGTGGTTTAGGGTGAAATATACAAGGACAAATGATGGAAAATGTTCTCCTATTTGTAAAGATTAAAAGATTTAATCAATGTAAGACAGATACCTTACTGAAATAAAATTTTAATAATCATGTGATTTAGAATTAAAATGATCTCAGTTGATCATGGGATTTTTATCCTAAAGTTACCTTGATCATTTTTATTTTTAGAATACCGAGCAAATAAGTGTTTTAAGTAATATTTATTTATCGTTCCCTAAATAGGCTTTAATATTTTCTTCCCTTTCTAAAAGTGGGAAAAGCATCACATCTGGGGTCTTCATGGCAGCTTTGTTTGTTTGTTCCATTTCTAATTGGGAAACAAAAACTGCATCTATTTGTGGAATACATTGTAAAGTTTTGATAGATACATAATACATTTTGTAGACTTCAAATTTCTGTTTTTGCAAAAATTTATTATACACTTGTGACATTTATATTGTTTTTCTCAAAGGCTGTTTGAAGCATGCAGGACTTTTAGGTCACCATAGTCACTCTGTCACAGTCAGTCTGTCTGTCACAGTTAGCCTATCTGTCACAGTCACTCTTTTAGTCACTCCGTCTGTGGTCACTTTGTCACAGTCACTCTGGCTGTAGTCACTCTGTCACAGTCACTCTGTCACAGTCACTCTGTCTCAGTCACTCTGTCTGTCACAGTCACTCTGTCTCAATCACTCTGTCTATCACAGTTGTCACTCTGTCTACCTGTAGCTTAGCACTGAGTGAGCAGCTTCGCATCCCTCCTTTGCTGCCTTCCCAGCCTCATGGAACTAACTCAGTTGTTCTTTTTTATTTCTCATTAATATTTGATGTCTCATAGCCTTGAGAATGATAAAATGCAAGCTCTAAAAGATCAGCCCAAAGCTGATTTCAAACACAACCCAACCGGGCCTTGAAGATTTGCATTTATTCCAACACCATGAGCAGAGATTTCTCCTGCCCCCTTGATTTTTCTATAGCTCCATCGTGCACTGTCAATTCCTTCCCACTAAAGTAACACAAGGCTCTTCAAAGAACCTTAACGTAATACTAATTAGCTATTCAAGAGTTTAGCCTAAAAACACTGACTGTCCTGACAGAAGACAAAAGCAACCACATTTAACATGAATATGAACTGCAAATGGTAGACAATCAAATGAAAATAAAAGCAAGTTAATTTGCAAATTTCTACCTCCCTTACAACCTGGATGAATAAAACTTAGTTATTATAGTAAAAATGAAAATTGCTGTAGACTATGGGGACATGAAATGCAGGTGGGAAAACCAGAGATGTATTCCCTGGCATGACAATAGTGAGTGAACCGCGGACAAGCATCAGTGAACTTCACTGATGTCATTGTGTGCCGGTGATTACCCAAGTAGAGTAGAATTGTTAGAAATAAAAAAATTAAGTCACTACAGAAGATTGGTTAGTCACTCTTACGCAAAAACTCATGTTAAGCCTATGGCTATATATAAGCTATAAGTACCTAGATAGATAGATAGATAGATAGATAGATAGATAGATAGATAGATAGATACATACATACATACATACATATATACATACATGCATACATGCATACATAGATGGATAGATACATACATACATACATACATAGGTAGATACACAGATGGATAGGTAGATAGATAGATAGATAGATAGATGATAGACAGATGATTTATAGATAGAAAGATAGGTATAGAACTCAGTACTTAGCTCAATTGTCACATTAAACACGAAAGGAGCCATCTCTCTAATGCAATTGGATTACCATGGTCTATCAAGCTGCCACTGACTCATTACTCAAACTTGCTATGAATATTAAAAGTAAGGCAAAGGTAAAGAAGTAAAGAAGTCCCTAGATTTTCTACAATGAAGACAAGTAACAAGTTTGGGAAATATCATCAACCCTTTATTTTATTCTACTTTCAACAATTGTGTGCCTCTGTGCCTCTGCCTCAGCCACTGTGGGTCCATAGTGCACACACAGCCCCGAGCCACCAGCCAGCCATGCTGTGCAGCTACAGCCACTTGCTCAGCAGGGGCAGGCACCATGGGGGAACCTACTATCTTACCCTCCCCCTCTTCTCTCTGGGCTTTCTCACAGCTCTTTAAAAAGAAATCCCTGGGCCTAGGGTAGAGAAGCTTTCTAGTAAGTCCAGGACTTACTGTGTATAACCTCTAGGTGGCCTTAGTGATGACTTAGGCCTTTAGCCTGAATGGAACTTTTGGTTATTGAATTATTCTCAGGACACTGGTACAAATAATCCAATAACCTCCCGATGGGTGCTGCAATGTCTTTGAACATTATTTTAAGAGATCTTCACATACACTGGCAGCAGTCAGATAAATGGAAAATGTTTTCCTACTCCCAACTGCTTACCTACCCATGCTCCCACACCCCTGGCCTATTCCCATGACCTGCATGTTCAGTTTGTGTCACAGGCCTGAACCTGCCTGGACAAACTCATTTTCTGTCACCATGATCTTATGCCACTGCTGCCAGCTTTCTTATTCTGGTCCTAGCCAAATGTTCCTTTGCTAATACAAAAATGTGCTTTTCTCTACATACGCAACCTGCCAAAGTTACTTAAGATTTTCTTTCCTATCCTGTCTTGATAGATTTCAACTACTGCCATTAAATTTTTCAGTTATAACCAATCGATACAGCCCTCAATCTTGTTAGAAGTCTGCTAATAATATTTCTAAGACTATTACAGACAGAATTCCCAAAGCCTTTAACAGTTGACCCAAGATGGTCTCAGACGATGCGGACATACCTATAAGATACTGCCTGGATTGTGCTATGATAATCACTGAAAAATGCAGTAGATAAACCTGGGTGCCCTGAGTCAAATGACTTGGCTGAATCAAGGTGAGTCATTTCTCATGTCACGTGCATCCATTCCACAGAGAAAAAGCCCTGAGTCTTCTCTGCTTAAAAGCCAGACTGACATCACCTAAGAGACCATGGAGACCATGGAACTGTTGGCTAGTGGACTCTGTCATTTTAAAAAATAATATATAACTGGTAGATTGTTGTTTACTCTTTCTCAGACTTCTGACTACATTGACAGCTATGCTTTCTCAAATGTAATCTATTACCTCATTACCCAAACTCAGTTTCCATTGATTAAATGCTTTGTATTTCCTCTTCTTGCTATGTCACTGTCCTAATATTATCTGAGTTCCTATAAATTTGACTAACTCTAATAAAACATTCCACTATACAATCCAACAAAGGTTCATCTTAAAGACTGTTCATGTTGTCAACTCGTGTTGTTATCTCTTTTGTAAACTTATAAGCTACAGGAAACCCACTCAGATCTACCTCTCATGGACCCAATAGACTCCATCCAGATAAGTACATCTGCCTAAAGTTCCCACTTACTACCTATTCCAGCGGGTGGGATCCCTCTGGGTTTCAAATGTACATCTTAAGAAAAAAATTTTCTTTCTCCCAAATGTACTTAATCTTATTCCCTACATCTTGTCAAGTCCAGGCACATCCATAACAGCTCCAGAGAAGCAACCTCCAGATGCTCCATCTCCTGTCACACACACACAGATGCTTCTTCTGACCTATCCTCAGATGGCTCCACAGACCCTGGACAGTAGGAAACAGCTAACTCTCCTAAGACTGGACAAACATTCCCCATACCCATTTTTCTATGTTCCCTAGAGACACATTGCCCCCAATGCCAGCAGAAAGTAGCCAGATATCATGTGACCCTATTCCTGCTTTGCCATCACCTCTTTCTAATTTTTCTTTTTTAATTAAGCCAAAACAGGAGAATGATAGCATTCTGTCTCAACTCCACCCCACAGTTACCTGGCAATAGCCAGGTAGGCCTGGCTTACAATAAAAGAGGCTGCTTGTCCCCTCCTCCCTCTCTTGCTCTTTCTTGCTCTCTTGCCTTCTTGCTCCCCCTCTGTCCCCTTGTCCCTTTCCCATACCTCACTACCCACCCATAGAATATATTATATATCTCTTTATCTTTTTATAAACACATCAAAAAAGACACTTAAAATATTACGGCAGCAAATTTCCTTATTGAAATCTAAGTTCACTGAAGACTAAGTAGAGCAGCATTGCAAATCTTTTACTCTTGAGAGTAGAAGAGATAATTTGCAAAGGAGCTTGATCATTGCTGGGGACTTCTGTGAATAGTACCATCCTCGGAGAGAGGGGCAGAGAACAGGTGGAAGAGAAGGGGTGAGCCTCTGGAGCCAGGAGGCTGCAAGCTTTCCTGTTAGGATGAGAACTTAGATCAAAGCTTGACTCTAGCCTTTAGGGTCTCTGACTGGCAAACTTTCAGAGACACTTTCCCTGGTGAATGCACTGATGGACAACACTTTTTGTTTTCTGGGTGTTTGGGTTATAATTATGAACGACATTTATGCTTTGCCATTTCAACCTTCAGAAACTGTCTAGGGATTTCGACCTACCATGCAGTTTGAATTACTGTTTTGTTTTCTTCTGTTTTTGATTATCCTGTTACTAAGCATGTGATTTCTAGCATTGATATTGACATGCCTAATGAGTCACTACCTTGGGCCTGCTATTCAGTGTTCAGCATGAAAATGTCACAGCCTCCCTTCACAACTTCAAGAACATCAACAATTTCTTTCCCAATTTGTTGCTAGGCACCTAAAGACAGCATTGCCACCTGCGACATCTATACTAAATCATTCCGGAC